TGCAGCAGAGCACAGAATGTGTTAAATTATCACAAATACTTTCATTTTACAGTCAAAATAACAACATGGACACCTCCAAATAAAAATCCTTATTATTCAGTACGTGAGGCATCAACAATGCTAGCACTTCAAATGACAAGCTGCACATTTTTGTTTTGTCCCATGCTAATGTGTCTTGAAAGAAAACACTTAATCCTGTCATGTCATGAAAATCAATCTCCCACAGGCACTGAGACAAGCTTAAAGCAGCAGAGAATTTCAACAAGCATAAACCAAGTCTTTATACAGGGTATTTTCCATCACTTACATAATAAATCCAGTGATCATCAAGAAAGTGAATGTAATGAAATCACTATTTCAGGGATAGCAAAGAATCAACAAGCAGCGAACAGACTTGCACTGGTCAAAAATTGTCCTTCCCAAAAATTTGTCTAGATTCTCAAAATATTGTTAAAACTATGCTCTCGTTTGTTTTATTTGTACCTTGTTCCTTGCCTTTTTAAAAAATTATGGAGTTTACTTAAAATTCTCAATTACCCCTCTCTCTCTCAAACAGGTCAACACCCTTACTAAAACAGCAGACATTATCTCCCAGACCATCCATAACCTCATCACCTTAGGTGACCTCCCACCCACAGCCTCCAACCTTATCATTCCCCAACCCCGCAGCGCCCGTTTCTATCTCCTTCCCAAAATAAAAAGAAAATCACCTGCCTACTGCAGGGACCGCTCTCTCCACAGCTCCCTCGTCCACTCCACACTCCCCACTAGCCCAATCACCCCGGCACCTTTCCCTGCAGCCACAGGAGGTGCCACTCGTGTCCCTGCAGCTCCCACCTCACCTCCATCCCGAGCCCAAGAAAACCTTCCACGTTAAACAGATGTTCACCTGCACATCCGTTAATGTGGTATATTGTATCCGCTGTTCCCGATGTGGCCTCCTCTACATCAGGGAGACCAAGTGGAGGCTCGGGGACTGCTTTGTGGAGCGCCTACGCTCGGTTCGCGACAAACGACAACACCTCCCAGTCGCGAACCACTTCAACTTCCCCTCCCACTCCCACACCCACTCCCTGGACGACATGTCCAGCCTGGGTCTTCTCCAATGTCACAACGATGCTACCCGAAAACTGGAGGAACAGCACCTCATATTCCGCCTTGGAACCCTACAACCCAATGGTCTCAACGTGGACTTTATGAGCTTCAAAATCTCCCCCCCCCCACCCCCTCCCAAGGCCCGCCCCCCCCCCTCCCCCGCCTCTTTGACATGTCCATCTTCCCCCCCCCGTGCCCCCCCCCCCCCCTCACTGACCAACTCCCATTCCAACTCCCTACCTACACTCCCCTTTACGAACTTCATCCCCGCCTCCTTGACCTGTCCATCTTCTCTCCACCTATCTGCTCCACTATCCACCATCTATCACCGCCTCCCCCTCTCTCTATTTATTTCAGAGCCCCCTTCCCCTCCCCATTTCTGAAGAAGGGTCCAGACCCAAAACATCAGCTTTCCTGCTCCTCTGATGCTGCCTGGCCTGCTGTGTTCATCCAGCTCCACACCTTATTATCTCAGTATCCAGCATTGGCAATTCCTACTATCTCTGACAAAAAGAACCTGATGTGACCCCTGTACACTAATAAAACAGCATAAATTCCAGTCTTGACCGTCTTCTGCTAACCATTACCACTGGTGAATCAGACACGTAATTTGTTCAGCAACTGCTCCATCTGACAAAAAGAGAACTCCAAGTTAGTCAAAAATGACCAATGTTGGATTCTCTCTTCCTTCCTCCTCTACATTCTACAGCTACAGCAAAAAAAAAAACAGATGCTAAATACTTTGGTCTGCTGCCCTACACCATAGCATCCCATGATCTCATTCTATAAAATATGGGTTTGGAAGGTTACTAACGTTAAGCAAAATGCACAATACTACTAATGAGCTTTTCCTACAATTAGCAAGAGCATGGATAACCCTCCTTCTCCCCATGCATGACCTGAAATGAGACAAGCAAATCAAAGCTTTTACTTCAATCCACAACGCTAAATTTAAGCTTACAATAACATTTTTGAGGTGGTGCCATTTTCACACTCATTGGATTAATAACTACAGTTTCATCAGATATAATAGCTAGAGCTAAATTAAGCAGCGAATACTGACACCCAGTCTATCACAGTGGAAAGAGTTATGTAGTTGGTGGTGTACAAATGGCAAGCAGCGACAACCACCGCCAAATGCTAATGGCGTTAGATCAGCAAGTTTTTACATTTGTAGTCAGCTGGAAGTGCCTCAGTTTATAAGTATATCAAAAAGGCTAGCACTTGCAACAATTCAGCATTTTGTCAGTCAGATTAAGTGATCTGATCCAACAGTAAGGGTTAACTAGCAATTTACTTTTTTTGTAATATAAAAGGGAAATGCTTTAAGGACAATGCCCTACAACCGAACCTATCCACATACCTGCTGGACTGCTCGGACTGTGCACAATGGTTCTGTTTTCGCTGTGCTCTAAAGTGCTGTTTTCTTCTGCTTCCACTGGAGGTGGTCGATGCTCCAGGATCTTGCAGGTGTAAACACATCGCTTCCTAGCATCCGTTGTACTCCAGTACACCCTTGAGCACCTATCAATTTATGTAACACAAACACACATTAGCAGAACTATCCAATCACCAAATGAAAGCTTTGAATTTTAACTGAATGTATTATTTAATTGAGAAATTAAGTCAAGGGGTCAAAACTTGTCCTGAAGGCTACCAAATAGGTTAAAAAGAGCTGCAGACTAAGCAAGCCATGAAGTAGTGGATTAACTGACTACACAGAGTTTGTCTTCTACCAAGGTACACAAGAGCAAGATAAATCCAATCCAGCCACTGACCACTCCCTTACCATCCCATCAATTTCTTCACTATTAGCGAAATGATAAATATTTTCGGCAGTTGTCAAGCAGCATTTAGACAGTAACAACCTGCTCACTGATACTCAGTTTGGGCTCTGCCAGGACCAGTCAACTGCTGCCTTCATTACAGTTTTGGTCCAAAGAGCTAAACTCAAGAGGGGAGGCAAAACCGAACACTTGAAACATTAGGGCTGTATTTGACCAAATGTGGCATTAAGAAATGCTGGAAAAATTCTCCACCTGGAATATAATAGCATCCTATATAACAAGAGTAAGGCAACATTTTTATCCCTCACTAATTGAAACTTACAAATCTGAATTCGAATGTTATATCTTGTTGAGTTGTAGGATTAGATAATGAGAAAAGTCTGGGAAAAAAGCAGCAGCAGAAAATGGTGAAACATCTGCACACGAAACATAAATGTTGTGAACATCTAGTTTTTGTTATAAATCATAATTATTAACTGATCCTGAAATCAGGAACTGGATTATCAATGATTCCAAACAGCACAACATCATGTATGCTCTCTCTCTCTCACACCCTATTTCGTAGCAACACAATGAAAACTTACTGATAGCCGATGGGAAATAATTTGGCTTCACAGTCAGAGAGATCATTGAGTATCCCCAAACAATCTATTGTCATAGATCCTGGATTAAAAAATGAAACAAAATTATACTTTTAAAAACCTTATTGAAGAAACATCTCAGCTGAAAACATGAACAATGAAGCACATTCAAATACATGAAGTTCCCAACTAGTAACTACATTGAATGTACTGCATAGAAACAGGCCATTCAACCCATCAAGCCCCAAGCTCATGAAGGATCAAAGCAAATCCTGTAGAATACCATAAACGTTCATGATTATCTGCCTGTTGAGCGTCCTCACTGCCTGCAATAAGTGAATTTACCATACATAATACATTTTTGACCTTCATGCAAATATAAACCAGTGATCCAGATCAGATGTAAAAAAAACTAAAATTCAACTTCAGACTAACATATCTGGTCTGGCTGAACTTGAATGGCTCACATCACCAGAGGCAATGTTTATGACACCAATATTCCAGGCCAACTCCATTTGGCACCCATCTGTTATTCAACTCTCCTGCAAATTCAGATGAAAATGGAAACATACCAGTTCAGTATTAACATGCATCAGTTAATTCATGCTGCCCAACTATGGAAATGGTCTTATACTAGCGAATTCTTACAGTGGATGACCAGACACTCAACAATGGTATGCATAATTCATTCTCAACCTCAAAATTTTTAAATACAATGACAGAATATTTTTCCCCCCCACTTCTTTTAAGCAAAGAATCTAAGATTATCACAAGAAACTCCTCTTTCAATCTGCACATCCGTGGAGAATAAATAACACTTTATACATACCACCCTGTCTCCTCCCATAAATATTTACACCTAAAAGTCTACCTATTAACTAAATATTTGGTGACCTGTTTCAATATCTCTTCATGTAGCACAGTTTCAAATAGTGGTTGAAAATCACACTCTTAAAAATACTATACAAATTAAAATTGTTATACTCACCAATCATCATGTGGATACTCTCTGGCTCAAGGCCTGTCAGAAACTTCCTTCTTAAAGTTATGTCCTCAAAGTTGACATAAACCCTACGTGAAACCTCAAACCCATCATCGGCAACAGTCTGAAAAGAAACGTTGTGTGGTTCATCAAAAATGGTCAACAGCATACAAACCATTCAGTGTCTGTCCAACTGTCTATTAAAATTGATAAAGAATCTTGCATCACAAGTTGTTCATGGTCAACTGAGCTTTGCCAGTAGAAAACTGATCACGTAACAAGGTGGTTTCCTTCTATGAAGAAGGACAATTGTTTCACACTTTAATCAGCGATTTGTTGAGAGCTGAATTCTGCCTAATTTGTATCAATGATTTTCTGAATGTGCATTTCCAGCAGGGGCCTCAGTTACTGGTTACAATTATTGGGCAATAGCTTCTGTCTTCAACCTACCTCCCCTTTGACTAGATCTTTGTGCCGCTGGCAGTACACTTTCTTGTCATCCAGGAACACACAGTTCTTTGCCCGAGCGCACATGAAATGGTAATTGCTTTGACAGGATGTAAGACAGCAACCAACAGTAGCTCCAGCCTTCTGACAACACTCGCAACGCTAAAAAATAAACAGAATGAATAAGCATCATCTATAGAATATTCGTTTTTTGAAATAGCCATACCACAAGATGGACAAATTAAGCTTGCCTTTACTTTAAAAGGTTAATTCAAATCCCTCCCATACAACAATGCTCCAGTTTTTAACACCTTGCCCCTCTCGACAAGGGGTTAAAGGCAGCCTACTAAGTTAGACAAACAAGTTAGACCATCAGGGTAAACTATACCGAAGATAACTAATATCCAAGAGTGAGTTACTTTACGGAATCCAAACACAGAATTGGATGGTCTAACTAGAATTTATCGGATAAACAAGTGTTGTCACTATCATCATTAGTGGTACAACCCCAACATTCATTAGAAAACTGTACTTATTGGCTAGAATCGAATCTAAGTGAGGAATAAGGATGGGTTGCAGGCTAGAATCTGCTATTCTGATCTGACAAGACTGAAGCTTTCTTTTAATTCAGCAATTACATTAAATATACCTTGTTACTGATATTTTAGTGATAATCCTGGATCTATTTCATCTTGCTATTTGATCTACTGGATCTAATCTTTCATTACTTACTCTTTTGTACTTTTGAACACCACAATTAGATTCCCTGTAACCACTTGCATTCCAGTGAAAAAAAGCAACCTTTTGGTAAACTGTAACTTTCCAGTCCTGCATTTCAGAAATATTCTATGGGTCCCTTCTTTGGTGACTAATATCCTTTCCTTAGTTGTGATTAACCAATACAGAAATCTAAAAGTAAGTCAGCTTTTAAAAGGGTAAATCTAGAACTATGCTGACAGTGTTTTTAAATTGTATTTCCCACCTTTAAACATCAACATAACTGCATCACTACTTTTCCTTTGTGCATCCACTCTGATGTTTTCCACTGTTCTCTTACCCAGAATGTACTGCTTCTTTTGGGTCTCTGCACTCTCATTCACCTGCCCATTCTGCTTACCTGTCCACATACTTCTACACTCTTACTTTAACTTGAAATCCCCCCCACCAGCCGCCTCCAAAAAAAAACTTGGTGTCCGCAAACTTCTGCATCATTCCGGTGTATTGACATTCACAGATAACAAGGTGTAGAGCTGGATGAACACAGCAGGCCAAGCAGCATCAGAGGAGCAGGAAAGCTGACATTTCGGGTCGAGACCCTTCTTCAGAAATGGGGGAGGGGAAGGGGATT